AAAAATTGGAAGCTCAATACTGATAGGAATGAAGCTCAGGTCTCTTCTGCTTCACATTATTTCTTTTTTATTTCTTTTTTGATATCATAATGAAATAATGTTTTTCCCTTTCCTTTCCTCAATCTAAACTCTCCAATATAACCTTCTTGTTATGATTTTAAATTCAAGGACTTTTCCCCATTATTATTGCATGCATATATGCATATGATGTGCACACACACACATATCCATAAATATAAACTGATCAGTCTATATAGTGTTACGTGCATGTTTTCAATGTTAGCCTGACCATGTGTCACTGGAAACAAGGCTTTTAAACATCCTTTAAATTATGAATATTTTTCCTAGTAATATTTATGACTGAATAACTTGAGGCAAAAAAAGTAAAAGGAAATAAAATTAATAAAACTAGAAATTTACTTGGCAAATAAGACTACCTTGGTCAAAATGCAGTCAAAGTTTGTCTCTCCCCTTTGGTTTCCAGAAAGAACATACTGATAGCTTCTACTCTACGATTTGGGATGATTGTTTACTGGAACAAACAAATGATCTTTGAAAAAGACTTCAAGAACCTAATATATTAGACTGTAATTCCAATACAAACCATTAGGTAATCATCATTTTTATGTGATAAAGCCCCAAGTGTTAACAAATCTAAACATTAAATTTCTAAATACATATCTTTGAGAAGCTAATAATTAAGTACATATGAAAGAATTTCCACATTAGCAGGAAATGAAAATAAAGATCAGAAAGCAGATTGCTTGTGAAACAGAAGTAGAAATAAGAAAGGATTATTAAATCTGTGTTTTATATTTTAGAAAGGTTCTTTTAGATCAAAAATTGAATTTTTTTTTGTCCAGGGCACTATTAAATGGATGATAATAATTTAACTACAAATCAGGTGCATATATGAAATAAGAGATTTTTATACAAGTACATAATTCACATGTATTATTTTGAAATTTTAATCTGTTCATGCATCCCCAGCCAAATAATTATCTAAGAACTAAAGCCAAAAATCCAAATATTGGTCACGGAATAAGGAGTTCCAGTACAACTTATGTATAGTAAATTTTAAAACTAAAGAAGATTCTTGTGGCATTACCAGGGCTGGAGAGATCAGAAACTAACTGATTCCAATAAGTAAAACGTTATTAAAAGGAAACTCAGATTTACCAAGACTAAGCTTAATGAACTGTTTATTGGTGCTTAGCAATCCTGATAAATCAACTGCAAAGATTATATAAGTTTTCTTAATAATTCTAATTCAAAGACAAAATAGATAAAAGCAAATAAGTAAAAAATGAATCTTTTTGGCTATAAATGAAATTTAATTGTTATTTATAATAACTACAAAATAATTACTGGTTATTGATTTAATTACTATTTTGATTTAATTAAACTACATTGTAAGCATGGATACAGGATAAGTGGTTTCAGAGGAGTTTGACAAGAAAATTTGAAATCTTCCTTCTAAGTGCCTTGTGTTAATAGATGTTAGAATTTCTAAAGGGCAAAAGTGCTTCCTATACTACTCAGAAACATGGAAATTAGAACTGATGGGCAGGAAAGGAACAGGCTGTGGTTCTTCCCTTTTAATCAACAACAATTTTATATGGTAAGCTTTCAAATTATATGTATACATAACTTTAAGTTAAACCAAAATTTAATGCCTTAGATTTAATGCGTTTATCTGGCATCTTTCTAATACAGTTTTGGATCTCAAGTGTTTACATTTTATGAATTTCATAGCTGTGCATGTTTAACCTTTTTAAAGTTTTATTTTCTAAGCTGAGCATGGTGGTGTACACCTTTAATCCCAACACTTGGGAGGCAGAGGCAGACAGAACTCTATTACTTTAAGTCCAGCCTGGTCTACAAATAAAGTTCCAGGACAGCCAGGGCTGTTACACAGAGAAACCCTGTCTCAAAAAACCAAATTAAAAAAAAAGAAAGAAAGAAAGAAAAAGGTTGATTGTTTGTGTAAGCTTGTTTACCTGGTGCTCTTGTAAATAAAAACTGGTCACAGGAACTCCTGAAACTAGAGTTACAGATGGTTGTGAGATGTCATATATGTGCTGGAAACTGTTACTGGGCCCACTTGCATGAATATCCCATGGTCTCAGTCACAGAGAACTCCCTCCCATCTCCGAATTAAATAACTAAATCCAACAAACAGAAATATGTCACTGACTTTATTTTAATCATAAAGATACAAAGAAACAATACTAGACATTTGTCTTGCAACTAGTTCTTTGCTACTAAAACCACTTCTGTGATAAAAACACCCTTTATTTGCATTTCATTGTTTAGAATAAAAAAGGACGTGAGTCAAGTATATCAGTTTTCAACTCAGCCATAACTAATAGTTGTAATGCAAGTAATCTTCTAAGAGACTTTTTTGTAAAAATAGAAAAAAAAAACATTGTTTTGCTTTTGTTTGGCCTAGCAATATGAATGATCCCATATATTTCTGATATAATTTGAAATATTTGTATATTTAACTCAACATTCATATTTTTAAATTAATGAAATATGTCCAGTAGTTGAGTTCCATAGTGTATTACAATAGTGATTGCAAAACTGAAATTAATGGTTTGTGATAATAAATAATTTTATAATTTCTCTCCACTAACTATTATCAAATACCCATAGATTTTGATTTGACAAAATAAAGTGCTTCAAGAGAGTTACAAAGAATGACATATACCTAATGACATTGTGGAATCTCAGGCTAATATTTCACCTAAGTTGACTCCTTTTCCCATATTCATCTTAGGTCAACTTTCGTTTCTCATTTTAACATTCTTTTATTAAACCAGACCACATTGTTGCACTGATGTGTGTGTGTGTGTGTGAGTGTATGGGGTGGGCAGAGTATGTGCAAATATTTGGGATATCTTTCGGAATTGTTTTATCCAGTATTCTTATTAACATTAGAATAGCATAGTTGTTTATTCTTGAAATGTGTTCAGAATTGCAGGACTGCCATGTGTAACTGTACAACCTGACGCAAATTACACCCATAAAAATAGAGATTAAGTTTCAGATTCTAAATTTATCATCTGAAAATGATTGCCTGAAGATGCCTTTACAGAGAAATGTCTCAGAAGCATTGAGAAAGCGTAAAGGAGAAAACAAGCTGAAGACAAATAAAAGCAGGTGAGAAAATGATCCGTGAGGAAAAGAAACTTTATACACACAGAAACAGGTGAGAAAGTCAATCCATGGAAGGAAAAGGCTGTAGACAAACATCACCAAATGGAAAAATCATCCCTGTATGTAAAAGCAATACTCACACTATTTCAAGGGTCCAGGCTGTAAAATTTTGCTCCTTTCAAATAAACTTCTACTTCCAAATCCAGCTGGAGACAAGCAGGTTTGTACACCTGCCGTGTCTGATTTACATAGACATTTTTAACACATAGTTTTTAGAAGGTAGGTTCTTGTGCTGTACTTCCCTTGCTTTCTCTTAGGTTCCCTTCAGTTGGCCCACTCTGAAGCACAATTATGGAGCATATTTGTTTCTTCTCTTGGAAAATACCTATGTAGTATTGATTAAATTACAGTAGTTAACTGTAACTCCTGAATCATGTTTTATTATCTCTTTCAATCTTTCTCATTATATGAACAAATCTAGCACTTTTATAAAAACAGATTGAATCTATGACTAATTTCAATTCAGTAGTGTGTCTTATATCTGAATTCACAAAAATAAAGTAAGAAACAGAGAAGAAATAATTATTAAGTTTCATAAAACTCTTCAAAGATAACACGAACACAGGAAATTGGATATGGGAATATGATTATAAAATTTATAGGACATTATGTTTCTTTTAGAATAAAATTTTTATTGCCTGTGTTGGTCTTAAGACCAAAGAAAATATAAGTGAACTCATTGAATTTGTTATTAATAAACTATAAAGTATATTCAGAATATATAATGTATGCATATGTACAAACATACATATTCTATATGTTGTCCAAATATACTGTGCTTTGTATATAAATATTAAATTTGGTGAAGTGCTAATATTTCATTTATTAGAAGATTAATAAGCAACATTTTCTTGTTATAGAGATCATTAATAGTCTAGCTTAAGGAAACTTTAAGATGCATCCAGCACATCTTATTTAAACTATAAACTTTAAATTGGGAAATAATACTTTGTAACAGAGATCCATATTTCATTTAGCTCAAATATTTTAAAGTATTTATCAGTTATATGTTTCTGTACAACAAGTCACTTTAATGCAAAATAATGAACATTATTTCTGTTTCTGTCGATGTGAAATGCTGGATTTAGTTAGAACATTTGATAAGTAGTCCCCATAAGCTGCTAGGGAATGGCACTATTGGAAGGTCTGGCTTTGTTGGAGTAGGTGTGTCCTTATAGGAGGAACTGTGTCACTGTGGAGGGAGGCTTTGAGGTCTCAAATATGCCCAGTAACTCAGACCACTTCATGTTGCCTCTGGAATCAAAATGTTGCTCCTTCTCCACTCTCAGCCTCTTCTCCAGCACCATATCTGCCTGCATGCTACCATGTCACACCACGAGGATAATGGAATCAACCTCTGAAAATGTAAGCCACCCCCATTAAATGTTTTTCCTTTATAAGAGTTACCGTGGTCATGGTGTCTCTTCAAAGCAATAGAAACCCTAAGACAGAAGTTGGTGCCAGGTACTGGGTTACTGCTGTCACAGGGATGACCATGCTTTTGTTTGAAGGAATATGGACCTTGGAACTGTGGATTAGAAAAACAGTTGAATGCTTTAAGCACCACTTAAAATGCCATAATAGTAAGAGCATGGAAAACAGTGGTGCCGAGAATGATTTGAACTATGGGTGGCTGGCTAAGGAGGTTTCAGAGGAGATGAATTTTAGTACATTGCCCAGACATCTTTATTGTGATTATTTTGGTGAAGAAAATGATGCTCTTGGGCTTTGTCAAAAGTCTCTGCATGAGGCTAAAGTGAAGAGACTAACTCTATTGGCAGTGGAAATCTTCAAAGAGTCTAGTATAGATTTTGTTGTGTGGATACTAGTGTTCATGCTTATAAAGATTTATAATGAAAAGGAGTAAGCTGAGCAAGGAAAAATACAAAATGTAAGACTTGAGCAGAAATGGAAGTGTAATGGAACTAAATTCTGTGTTCAAGGAGATTAAGAAACAGAATAAAGGGAATGGTGATCTCAAGGCAAGATCCAACTGGGCTAAGTTTCCAAAGGAATTAAAGAAAAGTTTAGAGCCTGGTGTGGTGGTGCACACCTTTAATCCCGGCACTGGGGAAGCAGAGGCTGGTGGATCTCTGCGTTTGAGGCCAGACTGGTATACAGAGCAAGTTCAAGGACATCCAAGCTCAGGCAGTGAAGGATAACACTGAAAACAGAAAGTTGGTGAAAATGTAATTGGAACAGGGTCCCATGTTTGTGCCCCAGCAAGCAGCAGAACTTGGCAACTTTAGCCAAATGGTTCTGGCTTTAGAGTTAAGGATAGCAGAAAAGGGCTATGGAATTTTCCTCTGCAACTAAGGAAAGCTACTGAGACCAGGTATGTGTCTGGGGTATCCCTGAATAGAGGCCTAGAGAGACCATTGAATGAAGCTGTGAAGGTGAAGCCTGGATTGCCTTGGAGACTCTAATATTTTGGCGATGCCAGAGCCATGGGATACCTGTCCGTGAAGAGCTGCTAACAGAAAATGGAAACAGCCCAAGGGAAAGAGGTGTGTTGCTATCCCCAAAGATGAAATAGTTGGAGCTCTGAAGAACATTTTGACATCAGACTTGAAGACTTTGCCCAGCTGGCTATTGATCTTTCTTTGGTCCAGGATTTTCTCACTGTACTCCCTTTCCTTATGTTTTCAAATTATAAAATATATCCTGTGCCATTATATATAGGAAGTATGTGATAAGTTTTTTTTTTTATTTTGATTTTATAGGGATTTCAGTTAAGAGATGGCATGAATCTCAGAAGAGACTTTGAAGTTTGGACTTTAAAACATTGTTGAAACTGTGATAAACAATGGGGAATTTTGAAGGTAGACAAAATGCATTTTTACATTGTGATATTGTGACAAGTTTAGGGAGGTGAAGGAGAGGAATGTGGTAATTTTAATGTAATTGTCCCCCATAAGCTCATAAAGATGACCCTATAGGGATGTGTGGCTTTGTTAGATCAGGTATGTCCTTGGTGGAGGAAGTGTGTCACTATGGAGGCATGCTTTGAGGACTCATATATGTTTAAGCCACCCCTAGTGTCTCAGACCACTTCATGTTGCCTGAAGGATCAAGATGTAGCTTCTTCTCAACTCTCAGCTCCTTCCACATCACTATATTTACTGAATGCTGCCATGTCCCACCATGATAATAATGGACTAAACCTTTGAAAATGAATGCCACCCCAATTAAATGTTTTTCCTTTATAAGACTTTTTTTTTTTTGGTTCTTTCGAGACAGGGTTTCTCTGTGTAGCTTTGCACCTTTTCCTGGAGCTCACTTGGTAGCCCAGGCTGGCCTCGAACTCACAGAGATCCGCCTGCCTCTGCCTCCCGAGTGCTGGGATTAAAGGCGTGCGCCACCAACGCCCAGCAAGACTTTTTATAATTATGGTGTCTCTTCACAGTAATAGAAACCCCAACTAGGACAGAGCACATGCTAAACTAATAGTCAAATTTTCTACCAATGATCACAAATGTTATATGAGGGAGAGTTCTTTCAACAGCCCCCAGTGGTTGTTGGAAGCCTTAAGGGAACTGCATGTAACTCACCTGTTTGCAAACTATTGATTACAGCATTTGTTGTTATTGTTGTTGTTGTAGTATTCTAGTATCTGAGAGATATGGGGAGAAGCTAGTAGACTTCCTTAGACTTAGAAGAGTATAGTTATGAGCAAGAAGGAGCGTGAGCTCATTAGGGAATGGGTATCTTTGATGACATAATTTAGTGTTGACATCCTTCACTTGTACTCTATACCTTTGCTAAAAACAAATAACAAACTCTTGACTATACTTACTCAAAGAGAAGGGAATAAAGTCTCACATTGTGAAAGCCTAGGTATTCAGGAAGGTATAGACCTATCCTTTAAACAAAGCAGTTCACTAGATCAGTAATGCATTTATTAAAAAAAATTTAAGCACTCATGAGAGAATTTGAGCTTCTGCTTTTATCTCAATCAATTGTACCTCCCCCAATCCCTACAGTTCTTGCATTCTTTTAGACATAATGATTTTGTATCACTTCTCAAATTCAAGGCATGTACCATCACCTACCTGATGCTCACTTACTATGTTTAAATGAGTTGAACTCATAATTTTGACTATTATAATATCCATGCTTAGGATGAGTCAAAAGATTTCTCAAATGAAATCTCCTTGGCTTCATGGGGAAACCTTTCTCAGACACCTTAACTTCTCTCCTGCTGATATACAAATATTATATTGGCAGAACTCTAGATACTGATACTGACCACCTGACTTCCTCAATTTTCATATGGAATAAACTCCACTAAGAGTAAGCAACAGCATTATGCTAATATGTGCCATAGTAGAGTACAACTAACTTGTAATAAGAATTGAGATTCCGTTATTTTTTCCCTTGAATCACTAAATTCACTGACATATTATTGTTACTTTTCTCATTCTCTCCTATTGATAAGTTATTGCAAGCAACAAGGAGCCTTGGAGTAAATGAGATATTGACTGAACAGTGCAGAAATTAGAAAACTCTATAAGCTAAGCAGAAGATAAAACACAGTCAAATTATTTTCCTGTTTGCTTATATGAGTCTCTCATTATTTTCCTAATTATTCCATCACTTCATGATACCTACACCTAACATATATATTGGAAGGATTAAAAGGAAGTAAAATGAGAAAAAAAATGTTAGTAATCTTCTCCAATGAAAATAAATAAGAAGAAAGTTTGTTTTTAATTACAAAAAAAGTCAGGGAAAAAAAGGCACACACTGGTTCATTGGTAGAATGAGATAGCAGGATTACTTCACTCTCCATAACAAGATAATTAATAATTTTTGCATGATGAATTATTTACTTTTAAAAATATTCATTTGTTTTTATTTTATGTGTATGAGTTTTGTTTTTTGTTTGTTTGTTTGTTTTTTTGCCTGAACACATGTATAAAAACCAGAAGATAGCACTGGATCCCCTAGAACTGGACTTTATGAAGATTGCAGGAGCCATGTTAGTGTTGAGAATCAAACTCTGTTTCTCTGCAAGAACAGCATATCCCTTTACCTGCTGAGCCGTCTCACCGGCCCTACAGTAAATTTTTAGTGTTCAGTTAAAGTAGACTTTCTGGAAGGTAAGCCATGTCTCCTCACTTTTCAAATATCGAAACATACAAAGTGTAAAACTACAAAGAAAAATCAGCTACCTTTGTTAATATTTACTTTTAATTATTATTTAACTGAATGTGTTAAACCTAGGTACAGCCACCATTCCCCAAAGGCATATCTCAATATGTTCTGCTTCCGTACAAACTCACATGAGACTAAATGCTTTGTTTCTATATTTATGTAGTTTTATTGTCTCTCTTGGTATTAATCTCTTAGAAACCGTTCTGTGAAATTCATAGCTTTGTTCAAACTTACTTGCTACTTACTTTTAATTTACACAACCTTCCTCTTCATGTCTCCTAAGATCTACATATAAAACTATATCTATGAACATGATGTAATTATATTATGGGTATTTTAAATGGTTCTAGTGTTCAAAATAAATTATTATGCATATAATTTATATTGCTCATTAGTACATTTTAATTAATAAATTAATTATTAAATTAATAAAATAATTTTCTTTAAATAATTCAAGTAGGGAGTTTTAAATAGTACACTCCATTAAGTGATAAATGTTCATCAGTTGTATGTATGGCCATGTTTTCCCACGTTTTCATTAACTGACATGCTACCCTCTAAATGTTGTATTAATTGCAATCATGAAGTGGCCCATGACATAAAGAGTCCTCTAAAGTACCTGAAATAGATATATAAATCAACAAAGTTTAGATTTGTGTTTGGATACATGGGAATATTACTTCATCTTTATGTTTAATGAAGACAAAGCTTTTATCATCCAGAGTATGACAGTCAGCGTTTTTTCACATGTGAACATTATAAAACTCCTTTACTAGTTTACAGTAAATTATTAGTAACATTAAACTCTCTCAGGTTACTAGTAATTCTCTTTTTTCCCATTGAATCCCAACATTTCCCTCCCAGTGTTAAATGCTAAATTTTGCATGCTCAATTTTCCATTGTGATTGTCTTACCTTTTCTTTCCAGTTTATTGTTTAATGTTAATTTTTATCTCATAATTGCTCCTTTCTGAAGGGAAATGGAGGAAGAAAGGATCTGGGGAAGAAGTGGGGGGGGGCGCTACTGGGAGGAGAAACTGCAGTTGTGATGCCCTTTGTGAGAGAACAATAAAAAATAACAATAGGTGTTTTGTTTGTTTGCTTTTTTTTCTCCATTTTTTGGTACTGATATGATTTTGAACCTAGACATAAAGAGTCTCTTCAAAGCCACAGTACAAACACAATCAACATAGATTCAATATTTTAATGGTGCTAGTTGATTCTTAACTTGGTTGTAGAGTGGTTTTAGGATAAAAGTTCTGCTTTACGAAATGTGTTCATTCTTAGCCACTCCCAACTGGAACTGATAGTAGCCTATAATTATAGAAGATTCTTATCTAATATT